CCATTATTTTCAATAGTTTAATCGGTTTCTATATGAATATATGATACTTTTTTTCTAATTGTAGATATTTTTGATTCATATAAGTAAAACGTCATCAAGCTAATCATCATTCTTTTTTCTTTCATTTTTGCTTCGATTCTTTAAAATAAAACGAATGATTTTCTTTTTAGATATTTGCTATTTTTTTAATGGGAAATTTTCCTGTCCCATAAGACGATCAATTTAGATTTCTTTTTTATAATTTACTTATGTTTTTTATTTTCATCTTTTGAATATATAATTTTCTAGGGAACTCAATCGACGTTGTAGTCTATGTTAATGAAATTGAAATGTGAAAATTATTTTTTCTAGTTTTATTGCTAACTATAATACACAAAATATTTCACAACAGAGGACTCCTTTTTTTATCTCGTTTCATATTCTAATGGTTAAGAAATTTTCCCGGTGACTACGTTATTATTGTACAGATACTAGTAGATGTAAAAAGCGCTTTTTTTCTAATATGAACAAGTGTGTATTTTAATTTAACTAAATATTGAATTCATTCTAGTAAATAATTTGTTTTGGTTATCGGGATTTATTCATTTTGATTATTTTCACGAAAAACAAATCAGCAAAAAACAGATTGTACATGTAAATTATGTCCGAAGATTATCAATGCTGGGAAGCTAATTGAGTAATTCAATCGATCGATAAGAACTATTTGCTGCACTTGTCTACAAAGTGCAGTCAAGCATTATTTGAAGATTCATAAGCGAAAAACTGAATAAATGCTGGAACTTCTATACTGAAAAGACATCCTCAATACTAAGAACCATCACCTTTCTATTAGAAATACTCGAGTATACATATAGGTCGCTAAAATGTGTCGAAATGTCGAATATAGCTCAGTCATATAAAAATATTTTAATATGTAATCTAAGCTTTTGTCACTACTTTCTACATAAAAAGAAGATATATTTGTATGTGATTTATAAAGTAAAAATTCAGGCTCAAGAAAATTTCGTTCGTATATTATTATTTAAAATCAACTTTCATTGAATCCGGAAAGTAGTCGAACAAACAAATCCTTTTTTGTAGGAAGAAAACTACGCTATCTGTATTTTAGAGACATAGACATTGATAGAATTTCACTTAAGTCTATGGAGTCTCATTTTTTTTCTTTCGCTGATACCTTTTTATCAGGCTCGCGTTATTTTATATTTAGATTTTTGAAGAAAAAAACGTGATTATTCTTTATTTTGATGTTGTTACTGATTTCTAGGATTTTTTGATAAATCGATTGATGTAATTATATATCATACAGTTTGTAGTTACCAATTAGTATATACTTCATGAGATCAAGCTTTAATTTATAGAGATTATGGTTTGTATTAATTGATTCTAATGATGCAGCGTCAACAACCTACACATTCCAATACTTAAAAAAATCTTTTTTTTATCATAAAATTAAAATATTCCATCTCAAAATATCAGACTTAGTTTCATTATATGTATATACATTTGAAAAAGAAATTTTGTTTGTTCAAAATCGTTTTATATTTTTTTAAACGAGGACAGAATCAATAGAAATAATATTGTCTATGATTTCCTGTATGCTTTCAGATTTAGTTCCCGCACAATCAATTGATACGAACTTTTTGAAGACTTATGTTTCGCATTTAATATGAATTAAAATGATGTTTTCCTGATACAAAAAAAATCATTAGTTCTTGATAGTCTATCTGGAGTCAAGAACTATCGTTAATACACTGTTTGAATACTGTTCATATTGATGCGTAGGCTTTTATGTAGAATATTTTTACTTTATTTTGTATAACATGACATTTATCTGATAGTGTTTTGAATCAGTAATCATAGAACTCAGTGGAAAATGAATTTGAATTTTACTATTAGAAAATTGATTCTTTTCTTTTCCAGAACTAAGTCGTCTTTATCATAAAAACTTTCGCATTGATATATGTCTAAGAACTTAAGCACTAATTTATGTTTCTAGATTGTGAACGATGGGTCGATCTCGTCCAATAACGTTCATCGATTATAGTCAACAGTTTGCCATGAATCTCGATGATCTGGATAAACGAGAACGAATAAACATAAACGAAATAATTACTCACGAATATTTAAAACAAATTCTTCGACAGTATGAATCATTTGGTCTTCAAGCTGATACTGTTATTTTTTGTATTTTGACATCGATGGGAGCAATATCTCATCGTTCCTTCATTAGAAGACTCGACAATATACCAGTGGTATTAAATCATGGATCTGTACACTGAAAAAAAAAGGTACCATACCGAACCCGAAAGGTTTCCGATTTTTGCAACCAAATCAAAATCCTTTGAGGTTTCGTAGAAATTGGATTTCGTAAAAAGCCTTAATTTTAATAGCTGATAATAGGGGTTTCGTACTTGGGGTTCAGTATAATTCACCACGCAATGTTGAATGAAAGATTCGCCGGGTGCTATGCTCCATTGTGGAAGTAGTTTTCCACCACTATCCACTGCAAAACACACCCACTCTTTAAAAAAGAACCGGGTTTCGTAGAAACTACCAGGAGAGATGTCTGAAAGTCGCCATATTCTATAGGAGAACACAGAATATCGCTGGAACATAGATGCAGTATTCCGACCGCAAACTTTCCG